ATTCTTCATTCGTTGAAGGGGAGGACTGGCACATAGAATGCGAAAGCAACCATGGTCATCCAAATCATTTGAAAATTGGTCCAAGTGCTACGCGCGCCCGAGGTTAACGGACATCCCCGTTGGCGCGGTGAACGCACTCGCTCAGGCACACGTCCCCATAGTTGTCGAGTCGCGTTACCGACATGGTTCCCGTTGCGTGCAGTGGCAATCCGGGAGGCAGAGTGAATGCCAGCGGGCGCATCAACGCAACCATCTGGCCGTAAGCATATATCATTGGAGCGTTCGCCTAGCCCCGCTGTTAAAACAACATCACCCGGCTACTTCGTTAAATCCTCTTGGAGAGTTTGTTGGAGGAAGAGGAGGGGGCGAAGAGGCCCCAGTGGGAAAGGCGCGCGCGGCACTTGCGCACCCCTCGCATGTTTCGTAACCCCGTTGGGAGCTCCGCCGAAGGCGTCGGCGGGAAAGGGCGCACGCGGCATTCGCGCACCCATCGCGCGCATCGCGTTCGCGTCTACATAGGGAGTTCCACCGAAGGCCTCAATGGGGAAGAGCGCGCGCAGTATTTGCGCACCCCTCGCATGTTCCGCAGCCCCACATGGATCTTCGCCGAAGGTCCCAGCGGCAGCGCCCGCGCGTGGTGTTTGCGCGTTCTGTAACGCTGTGTGGCCCCATTGGGAGCTTCCCCATCAATCCTCCCACCTTCTTGGCGGCACTCGCGCAGCGATCTGTTCGATGGCCCCACGCGGGTCTTCGCTGTCGTGGCGCTGAGCAGAGGTGCGATCGTTCTTCGCGGGGGCTCCCCCCCTGCCCTTCCCTTCGCCCGTCTTTCGCCGCCGCTCCTCCTCCCCCCCGCCCTCGCTGCGCTGACGCGGGGGCTGCCGCATGCCACTTGCTCCCACGAGTGCTGCTCCTTCGTGCTTCCGGGCCGCGGCGAGCGCGCCAGCCGGGCCATAGATTCATGAACATATTTTCGCCAAAATCAAGGTGTGCGAAATGAGCCTTCTTAAGTTTTTTGTTGTGAGGGGAAAAAACACACAGACACAATTAGTCGTCGATCCCCAGGAAGTGGGGGGGAAGATAAAACCCAGAAAATATAGGAAAATATAAGGAATCCTTCTATTTGTGTGCATTTATTTGTGTGTCCCAGGGCCCCTTCAGTTTTGCAGGTCCCGGCAAACGACCATTGAAGTGCCGCCGCGGGCCCGACATGCGTACGAAAGGCGCGCGTTTCTGCGTCCCCAAATTACAGTGGGGGCGCGTGCCAAGAAACCAGTAGGATTTTGCCAGGGTGCCCTGGGTTTCTTGGATTTTGGTGGGCTCCCAATCAGATCTGGACGATTTTCGGTCGACACATGTGGATTTTCACTGAACAAATCGTGTATTTCAGGGTTGGGTTTCTTGCGGAGGTTTCTTGTGGCCGAGCCCCCACTGTATCCGCCTTCTGGCGCTGGTCCCTTCTCTATCGCACTGGTAGCTGTCAGAGCTTTGCTGTGAAGGGAAAACTGTTCGACATATCATGCGAGGGCGACTGGCAGTCAGTCAGGAAACACCCCGAGATTTTAAACTGTGGTTGATCGCTGTGTTCCCGTTCTTGGAGCGCGACCCTGAGGTAGGTTACAGAGAATTGTGGCCTCGGGAGCGCCAGCCTGGCGTAATTTACGGGGCATCGCGTCCCCAGGAGAGCGAATCTGGAGTAACTTGCAGACGATTCTGGGCATCAGCCCTCAGCGCGCAAGCCTGGCGTAACTCGCAAAGGATTCTGTCCTCGGGAGCGCGAATCTGGTGTACAGTCGGGGCCCTGAAGAAGGAACCCTTTCTGTTGGGGAGGGGCTCCGTGTTCCTTAGTTGCTTTATTGTGCTCCTTGGGTTTTCCTGAGGTTGTCCATGGAACATCGGAGTTTCATGTATGGGAAAAAGGGGCCTCGTTCCTTATGTATCGTTCCTTAAGTCAACTCCCCGACTGTAGCTTGCGAGGGGCTCGGGCCTCAGGAGCGCGAATCTGGAGTAGGTTGCAAGGGATGCTGGCCACGGGAGCGCGAACCTGGCTCAGTTTACGAAGGATTTTGGCCTCGGCGCGAAACTGGCGTATCTAAACTAGTCTCGGGAGCGCGAGTCTGGCCTGATTTGGAAAGGGACCTGGCTTCGGGAACACGAATCTGGAGTAAGCTACTTGGGATTCTGGCCTCAGGAGCGCGAACCTGGCGACTTCACGAGGGATTCTTGCTCCGGGAGCGCGAATCAAGTGCAACTTACCTGGGGATCTGGCCGCGGGGGCGCGAATCTGGCGCGATTTACAAGTATTCCGTATTCGGGCGCGTGAATCTGGTGTACTTTACATCGAATCTAGCCCCAGGGACGCGACCCTTTTGTATTGCGAAGGCCTTATGGCCGGTGCCGCCGACCCCGAAGGGGAACGATAATGACGGCGGTCGCGACGACGACGACGACGACGACGACGACGACTTCGACGACGACGACGCTGACGTGGGTCAGAGTCCTCATGGATGCTTCTTGGTGTCTCTTCGAATCGCTCTCGGGGGCCTCCGGGGGATAGTTCAGAGGCCTCTTGGGAGCCTCTTGGGGGCATCTTGGGAGCCTCATGGGGGACTCGGGCCTCTTGGGGGCCTCTTGGTTCCTCGGAGCCTCTCGGGGCCAAGGGCTCGAAATGTCCGTTCTGGTCCCTCGTCTGGGCATCCTGTTGGAGCCGTCTTGGCGGCCTCTTGGGCCGTCTTGGAGGCGTCTTGGGGCTCTCTTGGGCCGTTTTGGCCCTTGGGCCGTCTTGGGGCGATCTGGGGGGCCTCCTGGGCCGTCTTGGAGGTCGGGAAGCGGTAGAGGCGAGAACGCCGAAATGCTTCAAAAGCCAATGGGAAGTCACTATGCTGTTTCTCTTGGGGCCCTGGGGCCCACTTGGGAGTGCTCCTGAAGGCCTCTTGGGTCGCCTGGAGGCCGTCAACGCGTCCTGGACAGATCGCTCGGCGATTCGGGGCCCTCTTGGAGCGTCTTGGGGGCCTCTTGGGGCACTCTTGGCCCGTTTTGGTGCTTCTTGGGGGCCTGGACCTGACCGGGAACCCCCTTGGACCCCCCCCCCCGGGACCCTTCCCCCCTCCCAGCGGGGGAGTGATCAAAGGGAAGGGGCGTCCCTTCGAGTCAATTACGACGTTGTTCAATTTCGCCTTGATTGCCGCGCTTGAGGAGCAGGAGGGCCTAGGGAAGAGGGGGGGGAGCGGCGACGGGCCCAGCGCTTGAGCAGGAGGGCCCAGGGAAAGCGGGAGGAGCAGCGACGGGCCCAGGGAAAGGGGGGGCGCAGGGGCGCAGTGAAAGGGGACGACAGAGACGACGATTGACGAATGATTGAGACGACGTCGAACGGACAAGCCCCTCACACCCGCCGACAGGGTCGGAAGATCGCCCCAGGGACACGACCCTTTATGTATTTGTAATTTTTCCTGGGCCAGCCAGAGAATTCTGAGAACCCCGAGAGGACGTGGTAACCAGGGCAGTTATCGGCTCCTCCCTCGCGCGGATCAGGAACATTGTTCAGTCGGAAGTAGGAAGTAAGCTGATAATGTTAGAGAGTGGAAACTGGAAGCTGCACTGGGACTGGGACTGGGACCGATGAGCTCAGGATTGGTTCTTACTGAAATCCACCCCTCGCAGCCTGGCCCCGCAAGTGGCCTGCGGATTGCCCCTCCCCCCCCCGCACGTTAACGAACATCAGAGAATGGCGGTTGTGGTGGTAGCGGTATCGGTGGTAGCAGTTGTGGTGGCGATGATGATTATTTCTTCACGCTGCGTTCAGAAATCTTGCCCATGAGAGGCGAGAAGGAGGAGGAGGAGGAGGAGGAGGAGGAGGAGGAGGAGGCAAACCACCTCCTGGGCCCCTCGCGTGGGACGCTCTTGGAGCGCTCTTGGGCGCTCTTGTGGACGTCCTGGGGCCGTTTTGGGAGCCCTGGAGGGCCTCTTGACGCCATCGTGGAGGCTATCGATCAAAGGAGGGGGGTCCCAAATTTCTGCCTCCCCCTGGGGCCATATATCACCACCCACCAAACCACCCCAACCCAACCCGAAGGCTCAGATTTGCCTTCGATTTCCAGTGGTGGGGGGGGGTCGGGGAACATCGAAAAAACACGTGGAACCCGTTACCCCCCCAACCCGAAATTCGGGTCAAATTCGGGTCTTCGGGTTGGGTTGGGGTGGTTTGGTAGGTAGTCCATATAAATCGCCTCTTGGGGCGCTCTTGGGCCGATCTTGGGGCGCTCTTCGGGTCGTTTTGGGGGGCATCTTGGGCCCTTATTGGAGCTCTCTCGGGCCAGTTCGGGGCAATCTCGGGGCAACGGCGCATCGGGAGCGAGGAGACGAGAAGGCAAACATCATTGATTTCTGGTAGGTGTTTGGAGGAGTGTGCCATATTGAGGAGATCCTCGGGGGGCTGAAAAGCACTTGGAACCGTTTTGTGGCCCTCGTTGGGCCTCTTGGAGGTATGTCGGAAGCTATCGTGAGACACCATGGAGGCCATCTTGGAGCACGGAGGCCCTCTTGGAGCCATCTGGGGCCATCTCGGGTGCCCTGACCGATCGCGGCCCGCCCCCAAACAATTTCAGGGAGGGGAGTGGGAGGGTACCCCTCCCCGAAGCGAAGAGGGTGTTGGAAGAGGAACGGATGAGATTGCTAGACCACCTTAGCCCACAAACTGCTGGTGAGAGGGTGCCCATGGCGGAGACGATTGCTCTTGCAAGCTTGTGTTTCTGTGGTTGTCATGTCGCAACATCTGGTGGCCAGGACGAGGTTTGAGCGTCAGAGCAATTGCGGTAATGATGGTGAGGGCTTGGCAACACCATCGGAGAGCAGTGGACGGAATGGCGGTGGCCGAGGCAGAGTGGAGATGGAGGAGGGCGAGGGTGCGCGGAGGAGTGGCACTTCGAGGGCGGGGAAGGGGGGGGCGAGGAGGGCGTGGATGTCGAGGGTACACTCCTCATCTTCACGTCCCTCCCCCGGCGTAGGTATCCTTGAGCCTCTTCGTGCACGCACTCAACGCATCTGGCCGGCGGGGCGCTCGCAACTTTGATTTGTCCAGTCATGTCGTGTTGCACCATCCGCCCCGGTGCTTTGCCACTCTCCTTCCAGGTGGAGGATGAGACGTGGGAGAAGGAGGAGGAGAAGCAGCTTCAGGAGGGGAGGAGGAGGGAGAAGGCGAAGGAGAGGAGGAGAGGGATGAGCGCTCCTCCTCCTCCTCCTCCTCCTCCTCCTTCCAGCTGTCAACTACAGCCTTTCTCATTGCGCTCCTGGTCGTCTTTTACCAGTTCTTCGCTTCTCACGCTACCTCTTCGATCGTTCTTTCTCTTCGCTCTGCCCACATCCAGTCTACCACGTTCTTCCACCACTCTTACTCCATCGACTCTGTTTGCTGCTCCCTGTTCCCCCTTCTTGTTCTCTCTTATGCCTCCCCCCTCCTGCCTCCTGGCTCTTGGCGAACGTCGGCTTGGCGTCTCCTTACCATGTCGTAACCTTTGCTGCCTCTTGCTTCATCTCTCCCTTGCCTCCCTTCTCTCGTCTCCTTCCCCTCGTCTCTTCGTCCTCTCTCCTTCCTCCTCACCTCGCACCTCCTCCTCCCTCTTTGCCCTCTCGAGCCTCCTCCTTGGGTCCTGTGCCGGCGCTTCGCGGCCTCCCACCATGGGGCCGGTTTCGGGCCCCGGAGCACCAGTGCAGGGGACGGGAGCTGAGAGATCCACGGCCACGCCGTGCAGAACAGCACGACTTCCGGTGGTGCGGGCACTGGAGGTCCGGGTTCCCGGGGCAGGTGGAGGAGGCTCGACCGTCGAGATGCGGCTGTCGAGTTTTCTGCCACGGTGTTGGCTTCCAGGCCGGAGAGATGCCCGTGACCACGCAGCGTCTCGCTTCCTCCACCACCACCGCCTCCTTCCCCCTCCTGCCCTTCCCCTCCTGCTGCCTCCACCTTTCGACCCCGCTCGATCCCCACGGAAGGAGGAGGAACAGGAAAGGGGAAGAGAGGAGAAGGAGGAGGTGCAGGAGGAAGGCACAGAAGCATGGGAATCCTGGGGAGGAGGAGGGATAGGGTGAGAATCTGAGATGGGGAAGATGAAGGATGGCAGTGGGATGAAGAGACAGGTGATGACCAGGGGGAAGAGAGAGAGAGAGCAACTCGCCCGGGCGGCTTTGGGTGCAGCGGGCCTTCGAACGATTCCGAGCTGACCCGAGGTGGCTCTAGAACGGCCCAAGGGTCCGGAGCCCCAGGGCCTCAGACGGTCTTCTCTTGGGCCCTATCTCACCCCAGGGTTGCCCACTGTTGCAGTTGCAAGTGACAGGCTGCCACTGGCCTGGACACCTTCGGCCGGAGGCCGAGAAAAAAGTGAGGGGAGGTGGGGAGGAAGCCGGCCAGGAGTCGCCTCGGGCCATTCGCCGGCGGGAGTCAAAGACAAGGGGACGACCCCCAAACGCCACGTAAAGCCTGCTCAGCCTGACCAGCTCGGTCCCGAGTCTGGGGGAGGAGGTATAGGACGAGGCCGCTGGGGCCTCTGCGGGAGGGAAGCCACCCTCCGCTGGGAGCGGCGGCCGGGCGTCGGGGGGGTGGGAGGAAGCTCCCGTGTTCGGCGCTTGCGCGTGCAACCACCACGCGCCGCTCGGCGACCCCGCCCAAGCCAGGCAGTCGTGCGCCGTGGCGCGCGCCAGGGGTCGCCTCAGCGTAGCCGCCCCCCGTCATTGCACTGCGCGGCAGCCAGCCCCGAGCGTGGAGTGCACCGGCCGCTTGTCCGATGGGCACCTGGGCCGACCCGCGGTCCAAATTCGTGCCCTGCTATCTTTTTTATTTATCTGTTTACATATATACATATACATATATGTATGTGTATATATGTATTTATCAGAGTGAGGGGGCCGAACGATCATTCATTGTCCCTGGGTGCGCTGAAGTGGGAATCCGTGGTGAGGATTCTGCTTGTTGCGTTGAACATTATTACTTCTAAAGAATAATTATTGTTGGGACCCCTGGTGCACGACCCCCCCGCCGCGCCTAGGCCGCAGCCTCATTTTCATCATTTTCGTGAGGAAGTCTCAGGCAAAACGGGTTGGTCCGGATCCGGTTGTGTTGTTACGATCGGTTTTCCCTTGCAAAAAATAAGCTAAAGTGGACATTTCTTGTTCTAACATAACCAAACTTCAAGAATCCCTTGCAAAAAATAAGGTAAAGTGGACATTCGCGCGCGCAAGACGAAATCCTTCCAAAACCTTAGTTTTCGTAGCGATTTTAACATAAAAACATCAAAAAACCAATGGTTTTTCAAAAAAAAAATGTCAAAATTTCATCCCGCGCGCTCTTGCGGATTCGTAGGAAACCCAACACTTTTTAATCATTTCTGTCAAACGGGCTTTTGCGAGCAACTTTTTCGAACTTCTGCAACAACGGTTGCGCACCTGCCAGGGCCATCATCCCTGTCAAATAATACCATGCGGGACACATTCGTTTTTTCTTCGCGCGCGCACGCCGTCGTCGTCGGCCGCGGGGCCCTGAATAGTAGCCACGGTCGTCCGCATGCCACGAAGTGAAGTGTCCGAACGTCATAGGGCGGGAAGCTGGGTGTGGGTGGTGGCGAAGAGTCGTTTGGAAATTTGGTAGAGCTTGAACCGGCCCCCCCACAAAGTGGGGGTATTGCCCGCCTCCTATGAAAACCCTGGCACTGGTGAGAACGGTGTGTCCCCACGTGCTAGTAATTGTTGTTGTTGTTGTTGTTGTTGGTGGTGTTGGTGTTGTTGTCGCTGTTGGTGTTGTTGTTGTTGGTGTTGTTGTTGCTGCCGTTGTAGTTGTTGTTGTTGTTGTTGTTGTTGGTGTTGGTGTTGGTGTTGGTGCTGTTGTTGTTGTTGCTGTTGTTGTTGTGGTTGTTGTTGTTGTTGTTGTTGCTGCTGCTGTTGTTGTTGTTGTTGCTGTTGCTCTTGCTGTTGTGGTTGTTGTTGTTGTTAGTGTTGTTGTTGAACATTATTAATTCTAAAGAATAATTATTGTTGGGGCCCCTGGTGCACGGCCCCCCCGCCGCGCCTAGGCCGCAGCTACATTTTCATCATTTTTTCGCGAAAGCTTCAGAAAAGTGGATGGGGTCCAGATCCGGTTGTTTTGTTGTAATCCGTTTTCCCTTGCAAAAAACACTATAAAATGACATTTCTTGTTCTAATATAATCAAATTTCAAGAATCCCTTGCAAAAAATAAGGTAAAGTGGACATTCGCGCGCGCAAGACGAAATCCTTCCAAAAGCTTAGTGTTCGGAGCGATTTTAACATAAAAACATCAAAAAACCAATGGTTTTTCAACAAAAAAATGTCAAAATCTCATCCCGCGCGCTCTTGCGGATTCGTAGGAAACCCAACACTTTTTAAACATTTCTGTCAAACGGGCTTTTGCGAGCAACTTTTTCGAACTTCTGCGACAACGGTTGCGCACCTGCCAGGGCCATCATCCCTGTCAAATAATACCATGCGGGACACATTCGTTTTTTGCGCGCGCACGCATGCTGGGCACATGCGCGTGCTGGGCACATGCGCGCCCCGAATAAGTGACCAAGTTCTGTGGGTGTGTACCCCACGCCAGTGTAGTAGCCACGGTCGTCCGCACGCCACGAAGTGAAGTGTCCCAACGTCATAGGGCGGGAAGCTGGGTTTGGGTGGTCGCGAAGAGTCGTTTGGATATTTGGTAGAGCTTGTAATGCCCCCCCACGAAGTGGGGGTATTGCCTGGTGTCGTATGAAAACCCTGGCACTGGGGAGAACACCACGCGTTCGGGTAAAATGATTGTTGTTGTTGTTGTTGTTGTTGTTGTTTTTGTTGTTTTTGTTGTTGCTGTTGTTGTTGTTGTTGTTGTTGTTGTTGTTGTTGTTGTTTTTGTTGTTGTTGTTGTTGTTGCTGCTGCTGCTGCTGCTGGTGTTGTTGAATACTCATTTCTGAAGGATAATGATTGCTGATCCCCCCTCACTGGTGCATATTGTTTTTTCTGAGTCAAAGTGTGCCCCTCGACGCTCGCTCCCTGCTTTTTGACAGGGACAGTCTTCCTGGTCAAACTGTGCCCCTGGCCCCCTGGACTACCTCCAAATTTACTCAGGACCCCCCCCCCTCCCGTCTGAGACTTCTTCTTAATTTACTTAGGAACGGCGCTCCCGCTTGAGACTTCCTTGCAATTCTGTCCGGGTCAAACTGCGTTGTTGCTCCCCTGGACTACAACAACAACAACGGCTCCCGCCTGAGACTTCCTCCAACTTTACTCGGGACCCCCGCTCCCGCCTGAGACTTCCTCCCAATTTACTTAGTGTCGGCGCTCCCTCCTGTTACTTCCCCGCAATTTAGTCAGGCCCCCCCCCTCCCGTCTGAGTTTTCCTTACAATTTACTCAAGAACGGCGCCCCCGCTTAAGATTTCTTTGCGCTTTGGTCTATACCCCCGCTCCCGCCAGACATCCTCTTTTCAGGAATTGCGCTCTCGCCTGTGATTTTTCGCTGTTTAGTTAGAAATAGAGCTATCTACGCTCAGGCAACACGCTCGCGCCAAGGACGCCGTCGCACTTTACTGGGGAATCGCGCTCTCGCCCTACTACGGCATCCCGCTTGAATGTCCCACACGCCCGACCCGCCCGTCAGAGGATCGTTCTAGGAGATGGCGTCGGGCACCACATTCGCCTCCAACGCGTCGCCGAGCAGCGCCAGATGTGTTACATGGCGCTGTTGATGGACCGACCTAAGGCAAAACCTTTGTTAACCTGTGTTGAAATGGCTGGCGCAAGCCATGGCGCAAGCTGAATCGCAACTCGCGGCACAAATCATCGTCGTCCCTCCCTCTTGCCCCTCTAATCCCTCCCTTCCTCCGATCCTTTCGTCCTCTCTTTTTGTCTTGTCCCTTCGTTTCCCTGTTTAGGGGCTTCAATAATTACACGTGGCCAGGAAGGAATATAACCCCCCCAAAGGGGGTACGATCGACGACGGGCGGGTATCCAGGGTTTGGGATATGCATCGTGAATGACACGCGGGCCGGTGGGAGCGAACAGTCTTGGAATGATTGTTGATGCTTTTGTTTGTTTGTTGTTGTCGGTGTTGGTGTTGGTGTTGTTGTTGCTGTTGTTCTTGATCTTGTTGTTATTTGTGTTGTGTTTGTTGTTTTTGTTGTTGGTTTGTTGTTTGTTTGTTTGCTTGTTTGTTGTTTGTTTGTTGTTTGTTATTTGTTGTTTGTTGTTTGTTGTCGTCGTCCCCCCCGCGACCCACCCCGCGACCCACCCGCGACCCACCCCGCGACCCACCCCGGGACCCACCCCACGACCCGCCCGCGACCCACCCGCGACCCGCACGCGACCACCCACGACCCACCCGCGACCCACCCGCGACTTGGCCCGCGACCCACCCGCGACCCACCGTCGACCCACCCGCGACCCACTTGCGACCTAACCCGCGACCTACCTACATTGGTTTAACAAACAAATCGGCGCCTGCTGCGGGCTCGTTGTATAGCTTGGAAAGTTTGCGCCTGCGGCGGGCTTCTTCCGAGCCTCGCAGGGGAAAGGAAGTCTCGGGCGGGAGCGCTGGTTTGTCGGGGCGGCGGCTTTCGGCGGCAAGGAGGAACACCGCCTTGAGTAAGACGGGAGCAAGTATCGAGCGGGAACCGTGGTTTTGTCGGGATGGGCGCTGTCGGCGGCGAGGAACAGCACCGTCTCGAGGAAAAAGGGAGGACATCTCGAGCGGGAGCGACGTTCTTGCTGGGAGCGGCGCCAATCCAAATGAGAGTTGGGCGGGAGCGCTGGTTTTGTCGGGGCGGCGGTTTTCGGCGGCGAGGAGGAGCACCGCCTTGAGTAAAAAAAGAGGAAGCATCGGGCGGGAGCGTTGTTTTTGCTGGGGGCGGCGCCGATGAGAGAACGACTAGCGCGCCAGTCCAAGGTAAAACGGGAGGAAGTCTCGAGCGGGGGCGCTGGTTTTGTTAGGACGGTGGCTTTTCGGCGGCGAGCAAGAACACCAGCCCTGAGTAAAACAAGAGGAAGTCTCGAGCGAGAGCGTTGTGGTTGTTGGGTGGCCGGTTTTGGCGGTCCCTCAAACCGCTCGAGCGTGAGCCTCATCTTCAATGAAAATATAGCCGGCGCCTCGGCGAGAGCGACAGGGTTCAACATTAATAATTGTATAGTAATTGATTTCAAAACAACAGAAGCAGCAACGACAACAACGAAACAAGCATTATCCTCAACACGGATCCGCACTTACGACACGCACCCAGGGACAATGAATGACCGTTCGGCCCCCTCCCTCTGATGCATGTGTGTATATGTGTATATAGTCGCACCCTGCAGTTGCGGATAAGAGTGAGGGGGCGGCGGGGACGTCTGCAGTCTGCGAGGCTCTGAAGAAGCCCGCCGCAGTCGCAACATGTTCAAGCTATACAACGAGCCCGCCGCAGGCGCCGATTTGTTTGTTAAACCAGTGTGGGTAGGTCGCGGGTTGGGTCGCAGGTGTGTCGCGGGTGGGTCGACGGTGGGTCGCGGGTGGGTCGCGGGCCAGGTCGCGGGTGGGTCGCGGGTGGGTCGCGGGTGGGTCGCGGATGGGTCGCGGGTGGGTCGCGAGCGGGTCGCGGGGTGGGTCGCGGGTGGGTCGCGGGGTGGTTTGCGGGTGGGTCGCGGGCTGGGTCGTGGTGGGGACGATGACAACGACAACAGCAACAACAATAACAACAACAACAACAACAACAACAACAACAACGCCACAAGCATAATCCTCACCACGGATCCGTACTTAAGTCACTCACCCAGGGACAATGAATGACAGTTCGGCCCCCTCACTCTGACGTTGACCTGTTTGTATGCATATCCAGATGCATATGTAGATGTAGATGTAAATGCATGTGCATATGCACATTGACATCCACGTGCATACGTGTGTACATGTATATGCGCATATGGATGCGCATGTGCATGTATATGTATATGCACATGTAAATTTGTGCGTATGTCTAGACATATGTACATGTGTATGCCTATGCACGCGCATGTGCACATGCTGATTTACAAGTACATGAACATGTACACATGCCTGCATGCGTATATGGATATGTATATGTCTGAATCTATGTATATCGTAGCACGCCGCAGTTGCGGATAAGAGTGAGGGGGCGGCGGGAACGTCTGCAGTCTGCGAGGCTCTGAAGAAGCCCGCCGCAGTCGCAACATGTTCAAGCTATACAACGAGCCCGCCGCAGGCGCCGATTTGTTTGTTAAAACACTGCAGGTGGGTCGCAGGTGTGTCGCGGGTGGGTCGACGGTGGGTCGCGGTTCGTTCGCGGGCCAGGTCGCGGGTGGGTCGCGGGTGGGTCGCGGGTGGGTCGCGGGTGGGTCGCGAGCGGGTCGCAGGTGGGTCGCGGGTGGGTCGCGGGGTGGGTTGCGGGTGGGTCGCGGGGGGGACGATGACAACAAACAAACAACAACAACAGCAACAACAACAACAACACCAACAACAACAACAACACCAACAACAACAACAACAACAACAACAACAACAACAACACCAACAATAACAGCAACAACAGCAGCAGCAGCAGCAGCAGCAACACCAACAACACCAACAACAACAACCACACCAACAACAACACCAACACCAACACCAACAACAACAACAACAACAACAGCAACAACATCAACAGCAACAACAACAACGCAACAATCATAATCCTAACCACGGATCCGCACTTAAGCCAATGACCGTTCGGCCCCCCTCACTCTGATAGATTTCTACGCACTTGTATATATGTATGTCGAGTCTAGGTATCCTTGTTTTTTCCATCACCTGTTTTTTTTGTTGTTCTCTCTCTCTCTCTTCCTCCCCTCCCCCAACACCTCCCCATCTCCCTCCCTCCTCGGTTTCACCCCTTCCCTCCATCTCTGTTGCTGCAGACTCTCTCCCCTTTCGCCACCTCCTCCCGCCTGCCGCGGGCTGCCCAGCAGGCTGGCCCCCTGGCCACCAAATCCTTCGATCGAGGGCGGAGGGCTGGGTCAGGACAGCTGGGGTCCGACGTGCCTGGATACATCGCTCTAGGGCGGTCCACAACGCTCTCGGAGCGTGCCACAGCGCTCTGGAACGGCCGCGGCACTTCACACGTCCAGGGCTGCCAGATCCTAGAGATTGCCGGTTTGCCCCTGTCCGATGTTGTCCAAGTCTTGGCTTCGTTGTGTTCGACTAGACGTAAGAGTGACCTTTCGCCGGAGTGACCTTTGGTGCGGGCACAGATGGGCCCCCAGATGGCTGAAAACGAAGCAGGAGCAGCGGCTTGCGCGCCTAGGTTTGGTCCCCCCGCGGCCCCCCAAATGCCGCGCACCAAAGGTCACTCTTACCCAGGGTCACTCTTGCGTGAAGCCGATGTGTGGGGGAGCCAGGGCGGGGCCAGGGTCGGGGGCAGGGCCCAGGGCCAGGGGGGCCAGGCGCTTGGCATCGCTCGGACGTGTGCATTTTTCTCTCGGCGAGGGCCATCGAGGAGCATCCTTGATCATTTGGCGAAAAATACACGCGCACGAACTCGAAAAATGCACGGGGAATGGCCGTCCGAGCGATGGCGAGCAGGGGGGCCAGGCAGGGCGGAGCCGCAGGGGACGGAGGGCCCCCCCACCCACGGCGGGCCAGACCGGCCCGTGCCCCCCCGCCAGGCCAGCCGTGCGTCCAGCTGTGGCAGTGCGGCGTGGGCGGCGCCGTGCCCATCCTGTGCACCGCAGAGGGCCCGCCCTCCGCCCTCGGGCCGGGAGGGGAGGAGGACGCTCGAGGCAGAGGAGGTCCGTGATGGTTCGAGGGAGAGGGGGTGCGTGGGCAGGCAGGCCAGCCACAACTGGGGGAGCTGTGGTCCTTACCCCCCTGGCGGACCCATCGATTCCGACACCCCTCTCGAGAGATCGTCGATGCGATGGGTTCCCCCAGGGGGGTAAGGACCACAGCTCCCCCAGTTATGGCTGGTCGGGCAGGAGAGGAGGAGGCCCTCGGAGGAGGAGGTTGACTGCCCATGAGGCGAGGGGAGGGAAGGATCCAATGGTGGAGAGAGAGATGATGATGATGATGATGATGATGATGATGATGATGATGATGATGATGATGATGATGATGATGATGATGATGATGATGATGATGATGATGATGATGATGATGATGATGATGATGATGATGATGATGATGATGATGATGATGATGATGATGATGATGATGATGATGATGATGATGATGATGATGATGATGATGATGATGATGATGATGATGATGATGATGATGATGATGATGATGATGATGATGATGATGATGATGATGATGATGATGATGATGATGATGATGATGATTGATGAGGATGATGATGATGATGATGATGATGATGATGATGATGATGATGATGATGATGATGATGATGATGATGATGATGATGATGATGATGATGATGATGATGATGATGATGATGATGATGATGATGATGATGATGATGATGATGTGATGATGATGATGATGAGTGATGATGATGATGATTGATGATGAGATGATGATGATGATGATGATGATGATGATGATGATGATGATTGATGATGATGATGATGATGATGATGATGATGATGATGATGATGATGATGATGATGATGATGCTGATGATGATGATGATGATGATGATGATGATGTGATGATGATGATGTGATGATGATGATGATGATGATGATGATGATGATGGATGATGATGATGATGATGATGGATGATGATGATGATGATGATGATGATGAGATGATGATGATGATGATGATGATGATGATGATGATGATGATGATGATGATGATGATGATGATGATGCTGATGCTGATGCTGATGCTGATGCTGATGCTGATGCTGGATGTGATGCTGCTGATGCTGATGCTGATGCTGATGCTGATGCTGATGCTGATGATGATGATGATGATGATGATGATGATGATGATGATGATGATGATGATGATGATGATGATGATGACGATGACGATGACGATGACGATGACGATGACGATGACGATGATGATGATGATGATGATGATGATGATGATGATGATGATGATGATGATGATGACAATTTTGGGGAGAGGGGGGCCGATCGGATGAGAAGCAAAGGTGCCCTTTTGCATCAGGGTGTGGTGACGAACACCGCAGGAGCCGCGACACGGACCCCCCCCCCCCCACACCGGTCAGAAAATTCGGTCGTCTCTGGTTTCCGAGCCTTGGTCAGGGGCTTGCTTACCCAGGGAGCCGGCCTCGTCACGGCCAGAGAAGCCGAACGCCCACCACAAAAGATGATGATGTTGATGATGATGATGCTGTTATTGCTGCTGCTAAGTATGACGATGATGAAGATGATGTTGACAACGACGACGATAATGATGATGTTGTTGATGGGGATGATGCTGATGCTGATGACCACTCTGATGATGCGGATGATGATTATGCTGATGAGGATGATGATGATGATGATGATGATGATGATGATGATGATGATGATGATGATGATGATGATGATGATGTCGATGTCGATGTTAATGATGATGCTGGTGATGATGTTGATGATGCTGCTGATGATGGTGGTGATGATGCTGATGCTGTTGATGAGGATGATTCGGATGAGGATGAGGACGAGGATGAGGATAACGAGGATGAGATAATGAGGATGAGGATAATCAGGATAAGGATGAGGAGGAGGAGCAGGAGGAGGAGGCGGAGGAGTGGGAGGTGGAGAAGGAGAAGGAGAAGCAGGAGGAGAAGGAAGAGGAGGAGGAGTCAGGAGGAACAGGAAGAGGAGGCTAGTCAGTTCCATGGTATGCCAAGTCTATAGGCCACGGCTGGCGCAACCCCACCCCACGCGAAGCGGCCGCTGCTTGGCCACCAGGCCCTCGTGCCGGTCGTTGGGCAGCGGCTGTCCCTGGGGGGCCAGTGCGAAGCACTCGGGGAGGTGCGCCAACACCAACTCCTAAAGCGCCTGGATCGCGTTCCGTCGCCGGAGGAGGAGGAGGAGCAGGAGCAGGAGGAGGAGGAGGAGGAGGAGGAGGAGGAGGAAAAGGTGGAGGAGGAGTGGACTGGCAACGCGTTCTGGCTTGGCGCTCGCGAGTGGCAGTGGGCCGTGGTGGGGCCGAAACGTGGGGCGCAAAAAGGAAAGCGCGCCAGCGGATGGCCCTGAATACACAAAGGGGGGGGGGTGCTCGCAGAACCCCCCCCCCCCTCGCTCATTTCAAAGGGGGGGTGAGATTTTCGACCCCCCCCCCCCTCCCCCCCTGAAGGGGGGGGTCCGACCCCCCCTTGGCGCTGAAAAGGGGGGGGGGGTCGAACGCCCCCCCCCCCTTCTCCCCCCCTCTGCGCCGAACGGGGGGCTGGGGAGGGGGCCTCTCGCGCTGCCACGATGCCACGCGAAGCGCGCTCTCCCCTATGCGTGGGTTGCCTCGGGGCTCCTTATCGTGAGTGTGTCGCATGTGTCATGTCCCGGAACCTTCAATCGATCTAGCGTTTTTTGTTGTGGCGCTGTTGGGCGCTTGGGGGGCCGTCAGGGGGCCCTGCCTGGCCATCTTGGGGCCACACTGGAGCCATATTGAGGCCCTGGAAACTTATCGGAAGCAAGCGGGCGATTTGGCAAACAAGTGTTTTCCTCAGGTTTCGAAGCGGTGTTTTGGCCATTTGGGGGCATCCTTGGGCGGATCCGTGACCATTCTGGGTCGTTTGGGGGACACTTTTGGCTCCTGGTGCAGGCATGCGAGGGCTTTTGTTGACCCATCTTTGGTTATATGGTGCCATAGCGGAAATCATCTTGGGCTCTTTGATGCCATCGTGGGCCTTCCCAGAAATACCCCCGAGAGACCAAATCTTTTCAAACGCATGGATCCTCAATTAGTTTCGCCGCCTCTAGGGCCCGAAAGGTCGTTTCCTGAAGCGCTGCTGGGCCGTCGTGAAACCATCCCAGGCCCTTCTTGGGGCTTTCGTTGTCCATCGTTGGCGCTTCAGAAGTGCAAGTGAAGCGAACAAACGAGAAGGCCAGCACCACTGGCTTCCGTACGTTTTGGGAAGCATGTAGGCCTCTCGGGGGCGTCAGATGGGGGCTCCGTGACCCCCTGAGGCCGTTTTGGACCAGTTCTTGGCCCCCTTGGAGGAGACATTGCTCAATCCTGGGGCATATTGATCCATCTTGTAGGTAATCTTGGGCTCTTGAGCCGTCTCCGAACCTTCTCAGGCGCTCAAATTGGTTGACCCCCCCCCGTCCAGATCCAGGGGCATGGCTTCATTAGGGGAAGGGCAAGCCCCTCCCCGAAGTGGAGTACAGTCAGGGCCCTGAAGAAGGAACCCTTTTCGTTGGGGAGGGGCTCGGTGTTCCTTAGTTGTTTTGTAGGTCGCCTTTGGTTTTGCTTAGGGTTTCGATGGGAAATCGAAGTTTAACTTATGGGAAAAGGGGGCCTCGTTCCTCATTTAGGGTTCCTTAGGTCAGAGCCCCGACTGTAGGGTTTGAATATGAACCGTCTTAAAACAGATTCCCCGTAGAGATTCCAGAAAATCCACAAGGCGGGTTTGGTGTGATAACAGGCCGGGCGAGGAACATGTTGGATGTGGGAACATTTCGCCGTGTGCAGTTCACCACCGAGGGATGGGGGCGCGCACCATTGGTCTACCCATCTTGTGGGAGTCGCCGTGGTGCAGTGCCTAATGCGTTTTGGTAAGCGGAACGGTCGCAACCACATCACAAGCTCACCGAACGGAGCATGAACTTGCACACATAATCGATCCCTGAGAACAGGCACGGGGCCCCGAATGCATTGCAGCCAGGCAGGTTCCTGATCAGCACACCTGGGAGCATGAGGCTCCTTACAGTCGGGGCGCTGAAGAAGGAACCCTTTTCGTTGGGGAGGGGCTCGGTGTTCCTTGATTGTTCTACAGCTTGCCTTAGGTTTTCGTGAGGTTTTCCATGGGAGATCGACGTGTAAGTTCTGGGAAAAAAGGGGCCTCGTTCCTTATTTAGGATTCCTTAGGTCAACGCCTCGACTGTACCCAAAGACGGGGGAGGGCGATCAGGAAGGGCGAATGGCGCGAGAGGGGGAAACCTGCCGGGGGGGGCAGTCGATCGACGTAGACGCGGGAGCACTCTGTGCTGCCCCCGCTGTGGCCCACCGCTGGGCAGCGGCACGGCGGCACGGCGCCCCCTTCATCTTGGCATCGCTCGGACGTGTGCAGTTTTCCTTCGGCGAGGACCATCGAGGAACATCCTCGATCATTTGGCGAAGAAACCACGCACGGAACCGGAAAAAAACACAGGAAATGGACGTCCGAGCGATGGCCAGTCATACAAGCCGGCATTTCTTTCGGGCGCACGTGCATCGGGAGCTTCGAGACGGGGGTCAGTGCAGATGGGGGTCAGCCAGGGCGCCGGATGCTGCAGGATCCTGCGAAGACCCCCTCTGGCCGACCCGGGTCAGCGAGCCGCTCGTGGCCGCGAGGCGGCCGCGCCTATTGGCTGACCCGGGTCTGCGAAGACCTGCGTTGCAGTGTTTTTTTCTTGCATTGCAGTTTTTGGTTTCCTGCTGACCCGGGTCTGGATTGACCCGGGTCAGAAGATCCCCGAGTGCAGCCTTTCTGGCTTGGGCTCCTGCTCGTGCTTTGGCAGTGCAGCGGCACTCGGGGGAGGCAGGGGCGGAGGCGGAGCGATTTTTCGAGACGCCCACACATGCAGGAGAAGGCGCCGTTCAGCGAGTG